AGATTAGGAGATAGCTAGATAGCAGAGTACTTGTTTAACATGAGCTTGCTTAGTGTGTGTGTGTGTGTGTGTGTGTGTGTGTGTGTGTGTTATATTCCTAAATATGCCCTGCTCGGTACATATGTTATTTGTATGTATGTTTTCAGAGCTACCCACTTAGCACTGGCTAACGAATGGGTGTGCCCTTCCCTGGAGAGACCACCCCTCCTGTTCCCAGCTTTTCCTCAGTTGCCTATAGATCTTTGGTAGAGTTGGGGCCTTGTGGGTTTTCCTCTGTCTACTCTGTCATGTTCATTGGTGTCATCCTTGAAATCTTCGAACCTTTCTCAAGATGAATAAAAGATGGTTCCTAAATAACCAAGCAGTCAGACATTTCTGTTGAATGTTTCAAACTCAGCTCAACCTCCTCTACTTCCAAGCCAACAAATCCAACTATTTCTTTTAAACCGTGTGTTTTCCTCAAGCTATCCTAACACCTGCCTTCTAATTCTTTGACATTTTCCCAAAGCTTTCAAGTCACCAATTTCAAAAATATTCCTTGAATACAGCCTGACAAAATTTTAGCTATGTCTAATTAGAGATCAGTCATTAACAAAATAATCAACAGTACCGAAAGGTCAATTATCTGAAAACCATTTGCTCTTCTTTTTTGACACAATAGGCATCTACTGGTAACAAAAATGAAATGCTGTATGCAGTACATCAAGATGTGTGGCACTCAAAATGGTGCACAGCCACTAACTGTGTCACTGTGACTTATACTGTGGGCCACATATACTTGCTGTCACGATGCAACTACCTGATTCTGTTGATGTGAAATCACCCACAGATGGCAGATAAATGAACATGGTTGTGCACTAATAAAACTTTACTTGTGTAGCCGGGCGGTGGTGGCGCACGCCTTTAATCCCAGCACTCGGGAGGCAGAGGCAGGCGGATCTCTGTGAGTTCGAGACAAGCCTGATCTACAAGAGCTAGTTCCAGGACAGGCTCCAAAACCACAGAGAAACCCTGTCTCGAAAAACCAAAAAAAAAAAAAAAAAAAAGCTTTACTTGTGTACTCTGATGCTCAAGCTTCACACAGTTTTCATGTACCACAAAAATAATGTTTTTGATATTTTCAACATTTTAAACTATTAATCCTACTCTTAGTTCATAGGCTCTACAAAAACAAAATGGATCTGATTCTCAAGTTCTATAAATACATTGCTAACCTGGGTTCCACAAGATCCAAAAGAATTACCTCTCTACATATTACTATTACTCAGTGAGGGGACTATGTTTATATTCTATTAGAAAAGCTAAATATGTTGTGATCCTAAATTCTCTTTAAAATTTACTGAAAAACACAAAGCCTAGGGATTAGGCCTTACTTTAGATCAAAAGATTCAGCACTTTACACAATCTTGTAGAATTTTAATATGTCCTAATTGATAGGTATTAGCATACTAAAGAGACTTTGCTAAAGATTGGAAAATACCACCAAAAGAAATAAAAGCCTTAACCTTGGCGCTGGTATTAATCACAATTACTTTTTGGATGGCTTGTATCAGATGTTCACATTTGTCTTAGTTAGAGTTTCTATTGCTGTGATGAAACACCATGACCAAAAAGAAAGTTGGGGAGGAAAGGGTTCATTTAGGTCACACTTCCACATTGCTGTTCATCACTGAAGGAATTCAAGACAAGAACTCAAACAGGGCAGGACCCCAAAGGCAGGAGCTGATGCAAAAACCATGGGGGTGTGGTACACTTGGCTTGCTGTCACGTGGCTTGCTTAGCCTGCTCTCTTATAAAAGCCGGGATCAAGCCCAGGAATGGCACCACCCACAGTGGGCTCGGTTCTCTCCCATAGATCACTAATTGAGAAAATGTCTTACACCTGGGTCTCATGGAGGCATTTCCTCAACTGAGCCTCCTTCCTCTCTGATGACTCTAGCTTGTGTCAGGTTGACACATAAAACCAGCCAGTACAACATTGTTTGGAAATAACTTGTGATCTTTAATTCCCTACAAACAACTGCTTCTCACCTCCATGGACAGAGGTAATACTATGTAGAATGGTAAAGCAGGACTGCCTTCAAGTTCCTGCCTTGACTTCCCTCAATGACGATCACAACCTACACTAAACAAGCCCTCCCTGCCTCAAAGCAGCTTTTAGTCAGGGTATCTGTCACAACTACAGAAAGTAAACTAGAATAGTAGTAGACGTCTTGCCTAACACACCGAAGCCCTTGATTTGAACCTTAGCACTGCAAAATACACATACATAAAGACACAAACACACATACACGTTTGTCTATCTTCTATTCATACCTTGAATAGATCCTGTTCAGTGAAATGTGGATAAAGTTTTACCTAGTTAAGAAATAAGCAACTAATCTACTACATTATCACAGAATTATTATCTTTAATTTACTGGGTGTGGAGGGGTCAAGGTTTCATCATTGAATTAATAAATAGTGATGTGTTGAGATAACTAATTCTATTCTCATTGTACTCTGAAAGCCAATAAAACAAATCATTTGGCCACAAAATCTCTGCTCACAAGCTCTTAGTAGGTAGCTATTTTTAAAATCACCACATTATTTTCCAGTATCTATATTTTCATTCTATTTACAGTTCATTAAAATAAATGATCAATTTTGTACTAACTTCTTGGGAGTATTAATCTTGTAACTTTAAATATACCATAAAACACATTGATGAATAGTTACTGGGGAGCAAGGTAGCAATAACAAAAACTCAGGAGCAATGGATACTACTTCTTTAACATGAGGCACATGAATTAAGGAATGGGATGTCATACCCGTATGTTCTACCAATCATTCTGTGTTGTAAGAGAATCCTGTGCTCACTATCATTCACAACAGGGTTCTCAACCTCAACACTACTGAAACTGTTGTCAGAAATTCTTTTTCCTAAGAGGCTGCCCTTTACACGACAGAATGCTCAGCAGCATCCCTACCTAATGTTCCCAGCTGACAAATGTCCCACGGAGGACAAATACAGTCCAGATAAGAACTACTACTTACAGATGACTTATACTGAAACATCCATGGGCAGTTCAAGTTAGAGGTACAGGTAGAGGTCATAAACATCCTGTGGAACAGCTCCAACCCACTGTTAGGAAAACCTCTCTAATGTAGGGGACACCATGCCTTCAACTCCCTCATCATTCTGATGCAGGGACACCATGCCTTCAACTCCCTCATCATTCTGATGCAGGGACACCATGCCTTCAACTCCCTCATCATTCTGATGCAGGGACACCATGCCTTCAACTCCCTCATCATCTGATGCAGGGACACCATGCCCTCAACCCCCTCATCATTCTGATGCAGGGACACCATGCCTTCAACTCCCTCATCATTCTGATGCAGGGATACCATGCCCTCAACCCCCTCATCATTCTGATGCAGGGACACCATGCCTTCAACTCCCTTTCTGATGCAGGGACACCATGCCCTCAACTCCCTCATCATTCTGATGCAGGGACACCATGCCCTCAACCCCCTCATCATTCTGATGCAGGGACACCATGCCTTCAACTCCCTCATCATTCTGATGTAGAAGACACCATGCCCTCAACCCCCTCATCATTCTGATGCAGGGACACCATGCCCTCAACTCCCTTTCTGATGCAGGGACACCATGCCCTCAACCCCCTCATCATTCTGATGCAGGGACACCATGCCCTCAACCCCCTCATCATTCTGATGCAGAGACACCATGCCCTCAACTCCCTCATCATTCTGATATAGAAGACACCAAGCCCTTAACTCCATCATCATCTGATGCAGAAGACACCCACATATTCATCTCCTTCAACAGTAATCAGTCCTCTATGATAATCAAGGCTTCATTATGAACATGTGTCTGGTGGAACAGAATGTGTTAGTTCCTTCAATTCTATTTGGACAGCTTTAAATATTCCAGCTCCCATCCTAAGGACTAATCCTATAATCCTCCCCAATATATTATCTGCACCACTGTACAGTATTTCTGAATAATACATTAATTATATCCATGAGGACTTTTGTCTGACTCATTAGAGGGAAATTTTAACAAGTAAAATAATATAGCATGCCAAGAAAAGAATATCTACTACTTTTAATTCCAACACAAGGATAAATATACATAATGCCTAGCAATAAATGCTTCTTTCTAATCTCCAAACACAATCATGAGAGAGCTTAAATATTTAAGAATATAGGGTCTTAATCATGTTTTCACAACTCACAAAGTATTTTAAATTGCCTTAAATATTTGAAGAGTACTAAAAAAATTAGGATTTCTCAAAACTCTCACAAATTTACACAAAAACAAGATGGCAGAAAAGCTTATTTAATAATTTGTAATTGAATATACTCTTGCTTCACAAAAAAAGAATTCAGTCAAGAGTAACGTTTCAGTCTAAATGTTGTGATAGCGATGATTCCTACCCTCTCACATGTAGTGCCCACATTGCCAAGATGGCTCTGAGACTAAATACTGAGAATAAAATAAAAGTATTTATAAAATTTTAAAAGAATAAAGCATCATTCTAGTATACTGGCAACCAGTGGAAAATTAATGCAACATCACAATAAAATTCAGATTTTTAAAACTACTAAAATTAGTGATAACAATGAGGAAAAATAATGTTTCCCAAAATACGTCATCTGGGGCTTAGCTGGCTGAGTGCTGTGTGGTATCCATAAAGACCCATGTTCCACGCCAAGTGCCCCCACAGAGAAGCCCACATGATGGTACACCCTATATTCACAGCACTGAGAGGCACAGACAGACAAGGAAGTCCAATGCTGATGCCCAGCAAGCAGAGACTGACAAGCAAACTTCCAGTTCAGTGAGAAACTCAAGACAGTGAGGCCCAGAACAAAGAGGGAGCACGCTCAAGCTTTAATCCCCGAACACTGGGGACTAAAGCTGCTGAGATACAGTAGCTCTAAGGCAGTGGTAACACCCACCTTACACAGTTAGATTTTCTAAGTACTCACATCACTTGCAAACTGTCTGCAGTTAAATTATTCCACATGATCTCATTTGCCTGGAGGTTTTCATTTTCTTCTAATAAGGAAGTATCAAATTCGATTTCTTGTTCTTTAGCAGCTGTTGTTCTAGTAAAGTATGCCAAATAAGTCTAATCAATATTAATACACAATCATAATCTATCTCAGTGCATACCAAAAGCAAAATATTTAATATTATTCTAAATTATGCTAACAAAGTAACCAAATAGTATAACTTAGAGAAAACCCTAGGCATTAATTATCTAGTCATGTAACCTGAGTCTTAATTGCTTCATTTGTAGAATATATATACACATTAAGTCAGTTTATCCCCATAACAATTTTTTTAAAGTATAAAACAAGTTGCATGCAAGGGAAAGTAACTGATGCCTCAGAAAAATTAATATACATATAAACTCATAGTGTTATTTATTATGTAAATGTCAAGAAAATACAATTTCATAAGTTAAATATGGATTTAAGTAATGGCATGTCAATTCAAAGCCTTAAATATAATTTTATAAATTAGTTACCAACTTTAAGACTTTAAAAATAAAAGTAAAAAAAAATAAAACTTTAAGTCTTTTAAAAATAAAAGTAAATTCATATAAAATAAACTGCTCTAATAATATTATTTCTTAAGTTCATTAAATATTCAATCATGAAAAATGTTATCTTCATAAACAGCTTAAAAGAATGAAACTACCATACCTGTGGACATCTATAAAATTATTATATTCTGTGCTAGGGTCTATCTGTTCGACGGACATCTGAATCTCTTTATGAACATTCACTATTTCCTCTGTAACAAGACTGGTTATCTGGCTATATTCATCAAATATACCTTTTCTGAAAGCAAAAATAAAATTATACATTTTAATATTTCATCAAGAGAAACACAGACCCAGAAAGAACAATAAACATAAGAACGATAAACATAGGAAACACAATATTGTTGTCTTCTGAGTGGTGGTTTTGTGCACCACCTTATTTCATACACATGGAACATGAAGGGACTATGTAACGGTGCCACAATGTGAACACACCATTACCAATTCCAGTATGTATTTGATATGTCCAAAAGGCAGGGACAGCCAGTACTAATAACTTTCTATTCTTCAATATTCTTATAAAACACTGGATTCTCTGTAAGACACTCCTCAAATGTCTCATTCCCCTCTTAGACCTGGGGATGTACAGATATATATAAGTAAGATAGATAAGCAAATAGATGTATCTTAGTTCAACTTTGGTGGCCTCTGTCTCTTCTCCTGACCTCCAATCTGCAGCAAAAGTTTCATCAAGGTTATTAGCTTGTTCTAATTAAAGAGAAAGGAAAAGAATTCTGTCACACAGTCCAGATCCCTACTTTTAAGGGTTGTGCTTTATAAATACTGGTTATTATACCAAAGCAAGTATGGCAAATAAACCCATTCTGCATATACCCAAATAAACAAAACACAGGATTTGTCTGTTTTCTAAAATAATTACTTATGAATCAAAATCATTACTTATAAGTTCCCCCTGTATGTTACCTCAATTAAGTTTATTTTGTTTCTTTGGTTGGTTGTTTTTTAAGACAGGGTGTGTGTGTGTGTGTGTGTGTGTGTGTGTGTGTGTGTGTGTGTGTATCCCTGGATAGACAGGAGCTGAGCTCACTATGTAGACCAGGCTGGCTTCAAAACTCACAGAGATCTGTGCCGACAAACGTCTCTGACAGCTGGGACTAAGGGTCTGCATGACCATACCCAACTAACTGCTTCGTTTTAATAAAAAAATAGTGTTAGGGACAAAAACATTTAAATTGAATCATAAAAAAATTCCCACGTATATTTTCAGTGAAAGAAAACTGAATCTAAAGGTTTGCAAAATTCTCAACCAGGAAATAAAGGAAGAAACGTCCATTAAATATGGGTCATCATCTTCTGGTCCTATATACAGGACAGGACATATGTGCATGTGACCTATTAACTGCAGTGCACTAGTGAGTCCTTAAAAGGGAGGAAACTTGGCCCACATATACATTCCCAAGCAGGTATTCACTGCACACACCATTTTTCATTTAAACACACAGCTAACTGGAACAGCAAAGTAATGACAAATAAAATATATTGAGGTCTATCCTTCAGGCATGCCAGGTCATGAGTATAAGCAAAGGAACACAAGTAAAACTCAAAACAAAGTTACATGGGTCTGAGGTGTCCAGGGGCTGCATAATAATTAAGTTTCTAAAGCGTGGGAGAAACGCTGACTCTTATTTGGAAGGGACTCATGATAAACAGGAAATGTATCTTACAGTGCCTTTATCATTTCTTCTTGCATCTTCTGCACAGAGTCCAGCAGCAGAGGAAGTGTGGTGTCATAGTACTGACTCTGATGGAGCTGGGCGCCCTTCAGGGCCAGCACATACTGATTGTGCAGCATGTGGAGCTTCATCGTGGCTTTGTCATAGCGCTCCTTGGCCTTTTCTGTCTCCTTCCCTGAGGAAAACATTGAAGACAGCAAAGAGATAAGCATTATCTTCACTGTGTGCAATCCAGAAAGCTGTTATTTCCCACATTTAATAGAAAACCAACTGTGCTGACTATGTACCGTGTGAAGGGAGCTGCTCTGCCAAGGACTGCTTGTCAGTACTTGGCACAGAGTTCCTGTGCAACCCATGCTCAGTCAAAGTCAGCACACACCAGTACAGAGATCCGACCCTCCTTTTCAAAGGCACTCACAGCACGTGGGGACAGCTGCACACATGAGAACATGTACACTCACAGCACATCAGGTCACATGAGAATATGTACACAGGAAAACATGCAGATGTCAAAACTGAAAGCTGTGTCTAATAATCTATAGACAAGAATGCTCTGAGGAGGCTTGTAGAGAAAACAAAGCTAACAAACAATACAGCCTCCCTCATGGTGAATATTATCAACTGGACACTTCAGTGTTGGAGGTTAGGGATCCAGGTTTGAAGGAGTCCTTCATGAAGAGCATGGTAAACTGAAGACGACTTGGAAAGAATAAACAATGTGGAAGAGGTAGGCAGAGAGAAAGTCAAGTTCAGGAAAATGAAGACAGACTCTTCAGAGGTAAGACAACTTGGCAATTAAGCAGAGACATATAATGTGGGAGATAACTGGAAAATACTGATAAATGTCATGAATCAGAAACTTTTGTGGTTCTTTATTATAGAAATTATTTAAAATATTTATATATTGCCAACATAAGTAAATGAATATGTCCATTAATACAATTTTAAGCAAGTCACAGATTTTTGGTACAAATTGAGTAAATATGACATCAATTTAAATTAAAGATTTTTTAAAATATTTATTAATTTCTTCCCTTCTTCAAAGGAAATTCTTCAAATAAAATCCTACCCTAGAAAGAGACCTTACATTGTCTTTTAAGGTGTGTGTGTGTGTGTGTGTGTGTCTGTGTGTGTGTCTGTGTCTGTGTGACTGCCATGTCTGGGGGGTGCTCATGGAGGCCAGAGAAGGACGTCAGATCCTGAATGTGGGGGAGCCACATGCTGTGGGCGCTGGGAGCAGAGCTCTGGTCCTCCAGAAGAGCAGCAAGTGCTCTTCTATTAACTACTGACCTCTCTGCAGCCCCATAGCAAGAATTTTTACTAAGAGAAGCTTTTCTTTGCTGCTAAGCTGTTAAGGTTCTCAGTAATTACCTGCTGTTATCACCTGTTTGAGAATCTCTCCTGTCCCATTGAAAAAAGCAAAGGGTGAGGTTTTTGCAGAGACTTGGACACGGCTCCTACCGCTATTCCCAGGAAAAGAGGATGCAGTGAGAAGTGCAATCCCTTGCATCTCTCGCACCCCCTCTAACTATGAGGACAGGAACATAAGATGGAAGAACATAAGAGCCAAAGGATGGGCAGAAGCACTGTGAAACGCTGCCTTCGATCACAACAAGGCTGTCCACACAGGAAGCCACAGCAGCTATGGCTTCCTGCACAAAATCCAGACAAGTTAAAAATCCAGTCTGGGGAGGTAGTCCTGAGGCCCCGCCCACAGTGAGGACCCTTTGGCAGCTGAAGGCCACTGTGGGAAGAAGTCACTTCTTGAACATGTTGCACTAAGACCTTGCCCACGCCCCAGTGGTTAATTCCACACCTATGTGTATAAGGGCATTAGTGTATGTGGGCATCACACTATACTCAATGGGTTGTGATCTCAAAGAAAAAGAAAAACAGAAAAGACAGGATGGAAATGTGTTGGTGGGCTGCGGGAGAGCTGAATGTGTTAAGAGAGTGGATGTGTTCAAGACACTTCATACACATGTATCAATTAGTCAAAGAATATATTAAATGTCTAAATATCTACTAAAAATACAAAGGAAACCAACCTTCCTTTAGACTAGTATGCTTCTATGACCCACAAATCTCAATTGCCCAAATTCCAAAACCACTACAGACCTCTCTTAAAAAGATGAGTAGAATTATTTTACAAAGGAAGTCCAGCCCCACCAATAGCTAGATCTGATGCGGAAGAATTTCAATAACTGCATAAATTATTTTACAAAATGTTAACCCTAGTGCTGTATTTCTCTGAGTTGGGGGTGGCAGAAAAGAGTAATTCAATTCTAATAAAAATTAAACTGCAAAAAAATAGAATTTTTATATTATTTGACTGCAATAAGATAAGACATTTTATGTCATGAATCAGTATGGTACTCATACAGATTAACAACACTATAACTTAATATAAAAGAACTCTTATTCCTATCCGGTTACCTTTGTTCTTTGGTTTTTGGGTTTTTTTTGTTTGTTTGTTTTTTAATTCCATCCTATTTAAAATTTAGATTTGAAGAATGTTTATCATAATCCAATGAACATTTTACCTCAGTTATACTAAATCCTTAAAGAAGTTTTAACTCAAGAGTATGTCCTTGGAATGATCTTATTACTTGCAATCAAATCATTTCAAATTTAATTGTAAATAATTTTTAACATCCCAATGAATTTATTCTCTCACAGAATAACTGAGAATAGCATATATACAGTATTTCTACCCATGAATACTAGAATTAGCATCCTTCTTGCAGAAATAAAGTTCACTGAAAGTCCTAGGTCAATCAATTGCCCTGGAACTTACTCTAAACAATGACTACTTGTTCCTCCCACGCACAGGAGTGAACTCCTGTAGGAAGCTGACAGTCTTGACTAGAAGCTAAGCGGCACTACCGCCTGGGTGAGCGTGGAATGCACTGGCACCCGTGGCACAGGTTACAGGGCTGCTGTTCTTCCTGTGCCCACTTCAATGTTTATGTTGGCTTGCTAGCTTGATACTTGAAATTAAACAATTTAATTCTGACAACACAATTCACAGGACTATGTACAATTATCTAGAATAGTTTAAGCCAAAAGATCCCTTCCACAGTCTACATGTTCATAAGAACACAACAGTTACCGATTAAGAGTATCTGAGTATTGTGGTATAATCTGACACTTATTTGTACTTTAAAAGTCCTGATGAGTGAACCCAACTAATTCCACACTTACTGTCCCCATTTCTGAATTATTGTGTGGGACTTTTTTTTTTACTTTAACTCTAGAATTTCTAATTCATGGTTAATTTTTTCCTAACTTCAGAAGTCATATCTCCACACATACATTTTCACTGCGACATTTAAACCATCCATCTGTTTCCTTATTTTCACAGATTTTAAACTGCACACTACACATCTGATATTCTATCTGGTGTAGAATGACTCAATAAATACACAGCACTCACTCACAAAGTGTTAATAATACAAAATAAAAACAAACTTAATCTCACAGCGGCTTCTTTTCTCTGGTCTAGGTGTATTATATCAGCAACAACCTAAACAGGAGCACTATTGTCAAAATCTTAGGTACCAACTTCTTACTGACAGTCATGAATAAAACTTAAAAAATAAGCTGCCTTTGAAGGCATTAATAATCCATTACATTAAGAATTCTTCAATAACACCTTGAGGTCTAAAACAGTATTTGAAGCTATAGTCTAGAAGGGTTCTGGGTAGAAAGTGCACTGCCTCTACCCACACGACTCCCTTTGGTTGTAAAGCATGCTTGTGGCAGACACACAACTACCAGTCCATCTACTACACCCTCCCCTACAGGTACAGACTTCTGAAGACCTGCTTCTCTATGGCACTTTTATAGATGTGTTTTACAAATAAATATTTACAGTCACACCAAAACCATGTAAGTAAACCCCAAAATCTATAGTATATAAAACAAAAGATGGGCACTAGAAAGGGTAAGGAGATTTATGCAACATGGAAGAAAGGAGGATTATTAGGTAAGATGAACAACAGTAGAAGGGAGACAGAGGAAATGGGGGGAGTGGGCAGGGAGAGCAAGAGCAAAGTACAGTGATAAATATGCATAAAATATCACAGTAAAGACCACTAATATGTACTATACCTAAAACTGAACAAAGACAAGGTTAAAAATTGTTAATTCTTTCACTTAACAGAATTATTGTTTAAACAGAAGCACCACCTGACGTGTTTCTAGCTAGATCACTGGCATACTTTCTAAGATAGTTTAAAATTAATCACACACAAGATTAAAGGTGATCTGAAGCGCACAGGTGAACAAGCTGTTGTTCACTGGCCTCTGTTGCTGTGTGTGTTTCCTGAACTGATGAGAGGCGCTGAAGCAACAGAGGAATTATTCTATGTGTCAATTAACAGGGAGGAAAACATCCAATTTTTCCTCCTCCATGTAATGAAATTCACAGAGAGATTGAATTATAATTCTTTCACCACTACTTGTTGATGAATCTCTCTAATGTTTTGTAATAACAGAGTGTGTATACAACATGTCATGCCATAAACAGTATTATGAAGCTGGAAAAACTCAATTATGTAAGGCTGACATTTATGAGAGACAAGCTACACTACTCATTAAGCTCATCTAGAAAGTCAAGCACTGGTACTATAAACTTCTGAATTGATTACCATTTATTGAACAGTATGGTACAAACTCCCTGATAATAAGTAAGAAGTGATGACTTTCCCAAACAAAGCAACTATGTGCTACTTTATCTGCTTTGATTTGAATAATTATAAGCATTTTGTCATCTTATATTGAAAATGGCTGTGCTGTCCTACAAGCCCAGATGGCAATGCTCAGCATTTAAGTTAAAGAAGAGAGACATGTCCCTCTCCCTTATCCAAGTACTAAAATGTACCTTGAATGACCAGCCCATGAGGGTTCATGTGCTAAAGCTTTGGTCCCCGATGTGTTCTGGCTGAGACAGTGGCACCTGCTCTGTAGCATCCAGTCTTTTATCCTTTCTCTCCTTCTGAGCTCATGATGTCAGCAGTTTGTTCTACCATGAGCCACCCAAAGCAATGGTGATATCTGATGTTGGGCAGGAAACTCCAGGACCATGAGCTCAATAAACTTGTTTTCTTTGAAGTTATTACAGTTACTGTGAGGATTAAGGTGGCACATGCTTCTTTCCCCTCAGTAAAGTTA